CTACAAAAGCGGTAAGCAAGGATTTTAAAATATTTAAATTTTCTTTTTAGAATATTTGCACAAAATTTTATGTTTCATTCATCTAACATAATTCAATATTTTTTAGGCTAGATGAGGAGATTTCTACAAAAATAGATGTCACTACCCTGAGATAGCAGCTATGTGTCCTGTACGTCCATAAGAATATTATACTGTCGATTAATTTTATTATAATTGTGATGATTAATATTTACAATTTTTTTTTTTTAGCAGTCGGTATGCAATGTTCAAGGATGAATGGAAAACTGTACAGCTGTGCTAATGTAATGAAAAAAATTTCAATAATTTCAGGTGCTGTTATGTAGAAAACAGGAATAAAACATTCCATTTATTCAAATCCACCCTGAAGTCCTCTATTCAACTTCCTGTCTACTGATTTTCTTTTTATAATTTTCATTATTTCAAACGATTTTTCACCACCAATGTAAATCGTAACTTGGAATAAGAAAGATTATAAGCTGCATTGGTACGGTTCTAACATCTGGCTTTAGTTTGCAGCGTATTACTTCTGTTTTCCTGAAAATGGGAAGGCGGACGTGGAAACGCGGGAGTGCAGACCGCGGCCGGAAAGATTTTCATGAATATTCTTTGGGTTACAGTAATGCGCTTTATAAATATGTATTAAACCCGTGGATTTTACTATCTCCGACAAATTAAGCTTTCCAGCTGCCTTAACCCTTCCTGTTCCTCCTAGCCGGAGCGTTAACGTTGGAAAGATGCAATTGGAATAGTAATTTCAACCACGATCTGCATCACGACCTTCTTCCTTATTCCCCTCCTCTGTTTCTTCTCCTATCCTCGCCAGGGACATTTAATATTCTGTACGATGAATTTATATTTTCTATTACATAGAAGAGGGTAAACCAAAATACTACCAAGACATAATGTACCCCACCCGATTAAATTCTTTGATATTAGTCGAATCTTTCGTAACCTAAAAAATTGTATATATGCAAACCACTAAAAATTTTGTCATTGAAAAAGAAAGTAATGTTTTGCGTAAAATCTCGATTTACGTTTTGAATAGTTTTTGAGAATTATTCAAATCTGGTGCTTAATAAATATTTCTATGAATGTTGACGATGTTATTCGTAAAATATGTAAAACTTCAACGAGAAGCAATGTGATTTATGGGTATAACATAGAACACGTATTTCTACGTTACACGTGGAGTGTAAAAATAAAAATGTCAGCAGCAACGATGCAAATTTGCACTGTTCTCGTGTCTCGGTGATAAAAATGTTGGAAATTTTTGATATAATCCTTGGTATTTGTAATAGTATTATTCGAAAAGGTTTTTGTCATCGCAAAATTTAATTGGGAATTATTCTTAGAATTCTGTGATTATTTTATAAATGACTTTATCCGCCTTTAATATTGGAAAGGATAAACGTATTCTTAGCATGGATCATTAAAAATGTAGAAAGTGTACAGGGTGATGGTATTAAAGCGAGTGTTACAATTTTGATGCATAGCTTTGTAAACTGTTCTTGTTAAAACATTTAATGTTTCATAAATTGGCATGCAAACAGCGCTAAATAAATTTTTTGTTCCTCACCCACCGTACCGGACGGGTTGTTAGAGTTTCTCATCGATAAATAATAACAAATTTCGAGAAATAAAATCGTAGATAAAAAGAAGAGCGTTAATATTCAATGTCAGGTGAAAAAAAGTACTTCATCATTGTTTGTGATTGAAACTTCAATGAAGTTCATGGTTCTCATTTTTCATTCGTTCTCGTCATCATAATATCGTAAAGCTTTTTAATATCGACAAAATTTCGCTTAAATAAATTTCGTGGAACGTTAATTTTACATTTCTATTTGGTAAAACGAAACGGTTGAAAATTGTAGAGCAACGAAACGATTGTGTGTGGTATGTAAATCTATCGTAAAAAATTGTACGTTTGCTTTTATGGTACATTTCCATGTTGGCTACAAATGATTGGAGTTATAAAGCAAACTAGCAGAGAAATTTCAGTTAAATATTCTACAGGAAAATTGTTCAGAATGGCTGCATTCATTTACTTTATTCGGTTAATGTAAGCACTTGCAAAGGGTTCCCGTTTCTAAAGTGGTAATGCAAAACTGACAATGAGTATATAATCTGTAATAAAGATATTTTCCTTTTGAAACGATAGATGTAACGATATAATTTAAATATGTTTCGAAATTGTCCTGTAAATTCAATAATCTTCCTGAATGTTTCCATTCATGGTATTATAGAGGTATTCTATTTAATGTTCAATTGGATCAAACCAATTAGATGATATGCCATTTCGGTGTACAGACGTTTTAGACATCTATTGATATTAAATGCTGCTCCTGCCGATTTACATGAATTTAATACTTACAAGTTCATTTTACCTATAGTGTCATTAGAGTGTTCACGATGTAATCTAATACACCCACTAAATATTCATGCAGTAAACACGATCGTGGGCTAAGCTGATGTCACTTTAATTAATTCCGGAGTCCGTTAAAGTAACTGCATTTACACAGATTTACTCTGAAACAATTCTACGTGTAGAATTATCGTTGATAGTCTAAAACTCTCTAACGTCGAAATTTGATGATCCAAATCGTTCCCGAATGAATTCACAAAATAGTAGAAAAATTTCATACATTGATACACACATGATTTTATCCAAAAGATTCTGTGGTATTCGTCGTTCGCTGGAAATTCGAACAATTTCCTGACTGTTTCTGATGGAATAGTTTCGTGCAGGTTTGACAAAACTGTCCCTACATGGATCGGTGGTTAGTGTTCAGGATCGTTGGCGGTATGGCCGATACCGAACGGAAGTTTTGCGGGAAAAAGTACCGCTACAGTTTCACCTTTAAAATCAATTAAGCTAATACAAAGTTGGTGGCTGTGTGTTGGTCAGGACGGCGAGATGGTCTGTGTCTTTGTTTCGAAGTAACCGGCAAGTAAAGGGTTGGGGTCCGATACTGTGGGGACAACTTCATAAAAGCTCAAGTGGCATAATCGAGTAAAATAGCTGGCGCCCAAGAGTGAATTAACAACTTTTTATACTGTTAAGTCCCTGTTGTTCCGCCATTGTGCTCGACATTCTGAAGTGTTATGAATTTAATCGTGCTTCATTATGGTTACGCGACAATGACGTCCAAACAAACAGATATCGCTTTCTGGAGAATATTGTTTAACACATTTGATCATTTTAATTACGAGATGTTGCATGGAACGTCAATCGATCAATTTTGTTTTTTGTTTCAAACACTTTGGAAAATGAAAAGTTATTCGTTCTGTAAAATGATACATTGTATCGGTTCGTAATTCGTTGAACTTTTATGAAGATTAAGTAGAAAAAGAAGGGTGTACGTATTACGGGCAGATGACGAAATTGCGATAAATCTTCGTTATAAACTTTTACCTGACTTCAACTCGCTAATGAAGGGTCATTATTCAGTGGATTCGCTCGTTGAAATTAAATTTTCATAATTGAAGGTACATTAAGGGATATAAAGACGGGTGAAAACTGCAGCTGAAAAATTTTACTCGGTAAACAAATAGAATAATTGAAAGAGGGATTAGAGACTCTCAGAGATAAAATATAATATAGCGAAAAATATGGGAACGATGTGTGAATAAACGGATGCGAAAACAAGTTTCCAAACGTTCAATTAAAGTATTTTATCGTTATTTTTGATTATCTTTTTTCAACAATTACATATATACTGAGAAATCATTACCCCAAACATTTATTGTTTAAATCGGCAAATTTAATATTCATAAATTGAACTCTAAAACTCTATATCCAGTGTATTTTAATAATGTTAAATGATTATTCAAGCAAAATCTGTGAATTATTATATCACAGTAGAAAATATGAAAATTATTCCAGCAGGGTTGATACGTTACTTATAATATTTGCGACAATAAGTGTCGAGAGTAGTTTCAATAATCGCTATTCATTCGATTCAGTGATCATTAAGCCCTTTATCAGCAAATAATTAAAAGGATAAATACATAGTCGAAAAATAATGGGACATAATTACGACATCGTGAAACTTCGTGGAACATTTATTAACGAATTAATTTCTTTTTCCAGGTATACATCGCCTGATTTCGACATGTCCGATTGCTCGGATTTCATCCGAATTATATCCATTAACGGAAACGAGCTAGAAACACGTCGTTCAGTGAATAATATATTGTTATCAGCGAAATTATTAAGCGATTATGAATATACCTTAATTATGAAGGATTAAATAATTCTCCAGTAATATGAGACTCAAGCTTAATGGACAAATGAGAACTGCTTCATGTTTAATTTCATTATACTGGCTATAAATGCTCGACCTGGAGATATCTTCTTAATATAAATTATTGGAAGAAATGCATTATTATGTGAGTTCGCAAAGGGAAAAATATTTGGTAAAATAAGAATTAAGTACCGTGCGTCGCCGACCTTTCGGATGGATACTTGGTACTTATAAAAGAGAATAATACGAGAAGCGAACGGATGAAGGAAGAAATTTCGTTATTACTGAAAAATTACTACTTCAATGTCAACCGCTTGCTTCCCAGAGGTTTAATCATATGAAATTTAATATCACACTGCTCCGTTTCTGTACGATAAAGATCAAACGCGTGACAAGTAGTAGGCAAGACTAGATTTTCATTATGCTAAAGCGATGCTCTTTGTTATCAACACATTATCGCTCGAGCACCTGCCAACAGGAGAGGATTATCTTGATAATGAGTTTTCTCTATAGCTCCCATCTGAGTAACATAACACGTTCTCCGCCGAACCTGAAGATTCTGCTACTACATGACCCATAGTTGTTAATTATTCACTTGCGAATCTTGCAAGCTGATGATTAATGTGTTTTAATCAAGAAAAGGCAAGTTTAATGATAACTTTACCTTTCGAGAATCATTTAAAAGAATTTAAGCTTTAATTTAAATGTTCTTTATTTCCTCTACTGTGTAGATAGGATAGTGACAATACAAATAGAATCGTTAAATGGCAAAAGTAATTGCACGAGGGGATTCTGGAACATGCGGTAAGGTTCATCCACCGTAGCATCAATTTTCCAAAAGACACCAGCCTGTTTGGGTTGAACAGCACACAGGTGAAATTGGCGGGCCGGTGTTGGCAAGGGACGCCATCAAATCTAATTTATACAAGGCAGCGTAAGACCCGTTGGCCTCTCTCAATCTTTGGGTACGGTTTGGTGGATTACAAATCGTTCCGGTTGCCGATGCAGGCAGCCGGTGGCCCCCGCCAGACACGGACAACGTTTAAAGGTTTACGCTTGGCCCAGAAACGCAGCAAGCAGCCGGAAGGAAGGCGGTCTGCGAGTAGCAAAATGGCGTCAGATGGATGACTCCATTAATTAGCAGGTACCTTCGCGTTCCTCCTCGTAGCTCTATCATTCATTCGAGTCACTCTTGTTTCCTACGACTTGCCTTTCCGTCGAGCTCCGAATCGCGTCTCTTTTCCACCAAATTTATATATTATGAATGATCGACCTTAAAATACAGCGAATGCAGTTTTCCATAGCTCGTAATCTTATTTTATTTTCCGATAGCTGAGAGAAATTTTGCGATTATTTGATTAAAATGATCCATAACCGAACTAACCATACGAAAAATTGTCGAATTTCATGACCTACTCTTCCCTGAACCACTAAAGTGATTTAAATCAAATTTTGACTGAGTGCTCCACTAATAGTGTTAAATAAATTAAATTTTAGATTTTATTTTTTCAAAAATAACGAATGACTCTTCTTAATGTAGCCATTGTTTTCGAAATTCCAGATGCACGAGGAAAAGTAATCATTGTTTCATGGGCCACGATTATCCAGGTTCTGTCTCCGGTAAGTATTAACGTCTACAGAACTCTTCGCTCAAAGGATTAAAAATTATCTCCGCGATATATATCACTTTTATTACTTTAATCCACGCGTGATCTATCGCCCGTCTCGAGGCCCAACAGTATCACAGTCAGCTTACGATTTCGAGTTCCTTATCGTTATTAATAGACGCCGGGGCAACTAATCGTTCCTCTGGAAGCGGAGGAATGATAATGAGACCAGTCTCGAAACGAAAGAAGACATATTGTGCGCACCTGAGGCACGGCAAATCAATGTTTCTGTTTGCTATCGCTTGAAAACTAATGGATCGTAACCAGTAACCTGGCCACAAGTTATTTGCGGTCGTGTTATTCGTGTAAAACACGTTAAACGACTAATCGATGGCGGACCCGTGATCGTCGCTTCAGGCGAAACGAAACGTGCCACTGTCGTTAAAACGAAACGATCGTTTTGCTTTTTCGCCCAAGCGAGCGAAAGATTTTTACGATTGTTCAGCTTTCTTCGTGCGACGCGTTTGCATAATGTTGAGGAACATCAACGCGACCGATATCGCAATTTTCTTGACTCCTCGAATATTCTATGTAACAACGCGTATGCCGAGAAGATTGTACTTTCCACAGACCCATCATTGCCCGTCAATTTTCGCATGCCAATCCCGCTCGCGATTTATACGTCGTGAATTATTACGAGCTTCCAGGATACGACACCTTTTCGAATATTCGAGCAGGGTGATAAATTTAAATTCTCGTTCGTTGCTTCTTTAATAATGCAGGGAAAACTTGCACGATGACGCGCATATTGTGCTTTCTATAGTTTTCTCGATTTCGAGTTCCTTTTTATACCTAGAAAATTGTCAACTGACAGTTCTATTCGAGGTACACTGTAAAATTTCTTAAATTGTTGTTGGTATTATAGGGTAATTTACTAGAGATTTATTATTAATCGAGAATGTCGTCAAGTCGTGACAGTGCAATTTTGATCACATAGAAAATTTAACATAGTTGAGCCGAGACGCAGCTGTCCGAACCTGCAGTATATTTAATATCTTCCCTGTACAGGTATTTATGGCTGGTTCATTTTTATGGGGTAAGTTCGGGGTGTTTCTTAGAATATATGAGAGGGACGGTTGGTGCACATCTGTGTCTTTGATCACCGGTGGAACGCTTTGCACAGGCCAAGGTTGTAGAAAATTGCTCGCTGCTTTAATGTGATTATTTTAATAAACAAATTTCCATAACACTCGCGGCAACAGCCCGTTAGCCACATGTTATTATTACGCGGACCTTTGGGCTGGCTCGCAACTACCCTATGTTTACTTAATAAGCCATTGTCTCTCGCTCTCGTTAAGAATCAAACATCATTACCCTTTGTATCAAAGGGCATTAATACAGCGACCTCGACGCGGAGGTATCTTCTTCCAGAACTTTTGCATAACCCTCTTTCTCTCTCTGCCTTTGTTTCCATGTCTCTCGTTCCAAGAGTTCATCGAGCAAATTGGAAAATTTAATGAGACAGACCCGTGCTACCCATCCCCATTTTGTCGTCTCCTCGCCAACGGTACGTACGTCCTTTTGAAATCAACTAATTGCAGGTAACTAGATTCCTTACCCTGTATCGTCTCTTCAATCCAAATCTCTAGGACAATCTAATTATCAGGCTACGTAAATATCGATTGATTATTCGCCGTACGATTTTCGTGAATGCGAAACACAATGGCGACGACAAATGGGACAGGAACGCTGCGATTCACCGAGCGAATAATAATTCTCATCCATTGATAATTACAAGCAAATTTTAGGCGATCGTAAAGTCTAGCGTTTGTATCGAATGAATATTTCATTGATTCCTAATTGCCATTTTAACGTATGTGCTTGAACCTAGGAAAAGTGATAGAAGGTGTGGTTACTACATTTTGTCCTCTTTTATTATCGTTCTCAATATTTTCGCCCTTTTGGGGTTCGCGTTACAGCATCGAATCGTGTATCGTCGGAATCCTGGCTAGTTTGTGTGCACGCATCTCCTTCCTGTACGCAGCAATAATTCTTCGACGGATCATCCTGCCGGACTATTAATTCCTGTGCCAGATTCGCTTTGATCTATTATGGCGCACCATCACAGACGCAGTGTCGTGCTGGATCGGCCCGGCCGCTGGTACTGGTCGAAGATATCGGAATTCCTGTGGTCGGTCGCTTCGATAAAATTAATACCGCCATCAAACGTAATGTAATTAAAATGTAAATTCAAGCGTGAATCATGATCCACGTCTTCCCTCCTTCTCTATCACGGATGCCACCGCACTCTGTGCGCTGGTTATTGTTACGCGTTAATAGCGAAGCGACGTTCTGCCTCGATTGAATCGTTACGTCGATACCCCCCTTGGCAAAAGTATCGCGAAAGGGTTGGATGTTTAACGAGTCGTGAATTAATGGACGAATCAAAGTTACGAGCGTGTCGGTTCGGGTCGTTTCGACGGGGGAATGAAAAGGAACTGGTCGACTGGAAGTCGGATCTTTCATTTCCTGGACGATTACACGGCTACCATTGAACTGTTTGCTCTATTTAACGCGTTGCTCGGAGACAATTGTCCGGGACTCTGTACATCTTGGTCAATTTGGCAAACCTTGTAAGTTAAATGTAGTATAAGATAGATTTCAGTTTTTACATTGTTTAAAGCACCTACAATGTCTTCTTCGTCTGATATTCTTCTTTATTTCTTCCTTTAGAAATTTATTCCGCCACCACTGAAATATCGACATCATAATTCAGAGCAGAAATTATTTGACTGCATAGAAATTTCATTACGTACTCGATATTGAAAATAAATTGATCGAACAGAATTATTTCCCCGAAAATTTAATTCCCTTTCTAGGTTTTGATTAAAAATTTTAAATCTTCATAATTTAAAAATTAATGTACTATAATTTCGAGATTTTCAGAATTTTTCGATACACTTTTCCTCGTCAAAGCTAATATTCAACCCGAGATTGAATATAAACTGAGTGAAGGAAATCGTTTACCGGAAATTTCGATGAAATTTTATATTCCTGCGGGCTTTTCTTTTTAGGCACTGATTAAAAGTTTAAATTCACTATAATTTAAAAGTTATACGGTACTTCTGATGTGATCACGTTTTTTCGATACACTTTTCCTTTTTAAAGGCAATATTTGAAACGAATCCGCGAAAGCTCGATAAAATTGACCAGATTTCTTGCCGTAATCGTGACGAAAGAAAAACGCGAATCACGTTCTACTCTAGTCGAAATGTTTTTGCGTTTCGAAGCGAACGATTCAATAATAATTCGAGCTGCTGTACACGTTGGGAATACGGTGATGGCTAACACGTGTATCATGGCATCATTCGGTTTTGTGTTATTTTAATTCCGACCACCTCGATTCGTTTCGATACCACGAAAAATGGTCCCCAATACTTCGGATGATTTAACGTTTCGTTTCTCAGCGAATTTACCAAATGAAATAATTCTTTTTTAATTCATTGTTTGGGCAACACGATCGACATTGTTTTATTTCCCATGCAAATACATGAATTTTAACGCTTCATTTTTGTTATTATTGCACGAAAACACACGGCAAGTAGCTTAAATCACTCTACCGAACACAGAATATCGACAGAATAATTTTGTGCATACTTAATGAAACGGGCGTCAAAAGAACGTTGGATTTCAATATTTTAATACATCTACTTTGCATAAAAATTCATCCTTTACGGTAACGTTCCATTAATATACATATATACGTATGTTCGTTTAATTAAATCAAGATAATATATGAACCCACATTGAAATATGAAAACCATCTATTTTACGGTGGAAATAATAGAGTATATTGAACTGAAACGAATATGAATAGCGTTAATTAAAACATACAAATACAGAGCATTCCGTATCATCCTTGCCATGAATAGAATAATATTGAAAAGATAAATAAATATAAAAATATCGACAGCCTATGGATATCATCTTTCCTTTTGTTGTTTTTTTTTTTTTCATTTAATTTCAAAGTACAATATGGGCGCATATAGTGCTCGTGACTGGTTTAGTTAAATTCGCTGTTTGACCAACAAGAATGGAGTAACGGAGTTGATGGATTGCTGCCGTATCGAAACGCATTTGCTTGTCAAACAGTTGCACACGCTCAGTTGCATTTTTATGTTTTTCATTGAAATTTTTCGCTCTTTTTTCGACAACCAGACAGCGTCGAATCATCTGTTGGAAATCAAACGACGAACTGTTACATCATATTCGAATATAAATTCCTAACGTTAAACATGAAAATATGAAAGAGGAGCAAATAACACGATAAAAAATAGTTGCAAAAGTTTTATTCGTTGATGTAAACTTTTATTAAAAATTACGTTCAGCTACACCGCAGAAACTCCGTCCCCTTGAAACCGGGTATTAAAGTTGGCCGAAACTAATTAATACTTTGCTGGCTGGTATAATACATTGACCTAATTAATTACCCGGACTGTTGCACGCGTGAAATTATAATTAATAATATCCACTGATTCGCCGTTATTTGATAGGTTGACCGTTTAACAGGGGGGAAAAATGAATCATTGATCGAAACGATGAGGTGATATCAAATTAAAGACCTTCCTTTTCCTCGGTAATAAAAAATGAGAGTAGCGTAACGAGAAGACGATTAAGAAGAAGAAAGGACTTAAACTATTTATCCCGTATAAAGCGTATCGGTAATCTCGTTAACCCGGCTACTTTCTTTGAGCCTAGAAAGGATGCCAGTCAGACAGGTGAGTGGCAGTCGGTCCAGTTTATCGTGGATTGCCACCCACCGACCTTTTCCTCAGACCTTCGCGTGCCACGATAATTAAACGTGCCGTCCAACGCGAAACGCTGAAATTGAGCCCGACCACGTGGCGGCCGGAAATACATGCTTAACAGCCGTGTATAATGGATGCACCACGGTTACGAGTGATTTCGTGTTACGGAGATTGATTGCTTTTGAAAGAGTCGTTAATGATTATCCCTTCCGTCATTAGCCAACATCTTCGATACAATGAGATGGAAATCTCTCTCTTACCGCTCGTTAGTTATTTCTATTTTCGATTCCTGTACGTGTAAGATGTTGATAAATTATGAGTACAAGCTTGATGAGTTGCCGGGAGTCATTTTAAATGATGAATTCCGTTATTTGAAAATTTTTTACAGAAGTTTGCAACTATTCTCAGTTTATCGATATTAATTACAAACTCCATTAGACGTATAAATGAAAATGGAATTTTTAATTTCAGGAAGCAACAGCTATTCAAGGATTAATCTGAACGTATCCAATTGTGTAACAGTGAACATGTTTCGATCAACGATTGATCCTTTACTCTGCAAGTGCTATTTCATCGGTTTAATCTTGCCAAGCTTAATACCTTTCGAAACAGAATTGTTGATGATTCGCGTACCGGCTGCTTTCGAGTAGCTCACCGACGAAGTAATTATAGTCAAGTGATCATGCGTACTGTTAAGTATCAGGAAACATTGTGAACGTTTCTCTTGTTGCAACGAGATAATGCCGAGCGTATGCAGAGTCAGGGCAACTTTCTTCATTGTTCGTTTCATCGATCGGTCTCGTATCAGCCGTTTAACGTATACGTACGTATGTGCATTCAACCAGCAAGAAGGGCTCCTCGTGCATTCATTCCATTCGTTGTCGAACATTCGGATTTCTTTTATTCGCTGCACGAGAATTCGTAATTTTCGTTGCACACAAATCTGTGCGTCGGTACAATGCAGCGGCGTTCGATTCGAAGAATTAAATATAAAAAATTACGGAAAGATATTCACAGATTTTAGACGCAACATTTTGTATTATTATAGAGGAAGTTTCAACAGATTTTATTAAGAACTGGTAAACTTCGCGGGGCTAGAACAGAGTTTATTATTAACAACAACAACAGTACCGATACAATGGCAGACATGTGTATGTGTTCCCTAATTTTGACGATGGTTGACACACAACGTAGCATGTCAACTGTATTATAATACCAGGCAACTATTTGCACAAACACTTAGGGTGATTCCAGAGTGTACGTTTGTTTAGCTACATTCCCGTGCGCATTGCTGTGTTCGCGAGCGAACTAGAGAGAGAATAGTTGCTTATGCCCGCATGCACCTACTGAAAATACATACGCTCTATTATACCGAGCGTTAAACGTGACAAGGTACGGGCGCTCGGTAATTGCGTCACGCCATTACATTTAATTAAAAGTTCGCGTGTAAATGTAGCGAAGAAATCCGATTGTTCGAAGCTTGCTTAATATAATGAGAACACGGAAGATGCGAAGGAACTCGGTCTTTCGAGTTACAATTAAGCTCGCGCAAACGGTATGAGAGAGAATTCTTAGCGAATAGAAAAATAACTTTTAAGAATTATCTGTATTTTAGTTAATTATGATTAGAACAAGATATCTGCAACAAGCTGATATATTATTAGAAGGAATAAAATCACGAATCAGTTTTATAAATAAATAAAATGATAAAAATAATCATTACGCATTTTTACAGCAAGTTTGAAATCATTAGAGAGATATTCTTCTTTTATTCTGATACTAACAGGAGATATTCTTTCAGGTTAGATGACCCGGAGGTTTCTAATCCCGCAGACTGATGTCGTAGCAGTTTCGAGGCTTTCCGTGTTTGCAAACGACATCTCGTCCAGCTCAGCTATCGCTGCTTCGAGGAGGTTCATAATAAATTCAAATTTCTCTGGCTCGATGCCGGGAAAGAAACATGGATCCCGTAAGCCGCGAACCGAAATGCATTCAAGGATGCAAATAAAGCGCGGAAGACGAGCGACACTTGGGCCGAGAAGCTGCTATTTTCCTACGAGCAAGGTAAGAGAAAATTCTCTGTTAATAGCAACGACTATGGTTTCGTTCGGTGTTTTTCTAATTAGCGCAATAACATTCATGGAACAAGGAAATCTCATTTTCCTGTACGCCTTCGAGGGGCTAATTTAGATTTCTGTTTACACCGAGGACAATTACTTGATGCGCCGTTTCCCTCCCACGTTAAAAGCGTATAATTTGATAGCGTGCTCGATTTCGCAAATGACCGCAAGTGAAAACACCGGGACACGTTATCGTTGAGTTTGATCGTGGTTAAGGTACGATCAATGGGAATTGGTCACCGCCACCGCAATTAGTAACCCGTAAACGCAGCTGAGCGCTCTTTCTCTTTATAATGCATGTTTAAACACCTAATGACCGTAAATGAATGAAATTCTGTAGGTAATTCGAACAAATTAGCTACGTATTCGAAGCTTGTTTTCTATCGAAAAGTTGAAAGGAATTTCAATGGATATTAACTATCACACATGAAATGATCAATTTCCGAAACGCATAAACTCTAGTATTATTTGATGACATAAAAGGACCTCCAAATCGGATTTATTTTATACCACTTTGAAGCTAAAACTTTGACAAAAGTTACTATACAAACGTTATCTATTTTTCAATACCTTTATGTCATCAAATCATGTATGTCTTTCTATGTTTCAATACCAGCCATTTGATATTCAACAATCTAATAGAATTGCAAATCGTTGAAAAAGCTTGCGCTAAATTTTCCCTTTTCTAAACATCAATTCTGTGGAAACCTTTCCCAGAGTTACATCATCAGTTACGTATTCAAATCGTGTTCCCTATCGAGAAATAAAAGCATAAAATAACACTCAAGGTATCTGCGTTAAATTTTCTCTTTCCTAAGTATCGATCTTTCTGTCAGGCACACCGTTCCTGGAATTATAATACATCTATTAATCGATCGGAATATCTCGAATGACAGATACGCTGGAAGGCAATAATTAACGCAAAACAGCTATTTATGGCCGGATAGATCCCGATGGGTCCCTTCTAATTAAGGCTTCCGGCGAATCACGTGCAATGAAATGTGTTCGAATCGTTGGTCGATAGGAGCCGAACGATCGGGATGATGAAGGCCACTGTGAAAGAAATGAAAACTCATCGAGTAAAGACGTGCCGTGCGAAGATGGAAAAAGGATGAGTCACGATACGGTCGAGGGTAAGGATGGAAGAAGGTGGCGAACAGAAGGTCGCGGTACCGCTGGTGCCGCTGACCTTTTTCCCTACCTTACTCCATTCGTCGAGTTCGTCGCCTATTCCTTGCTCTTCCGCATTGTACGGGCACGGTCTCTTATAAAATATCCACGACACCAGCTGCATAGCGTGGCGAAAGATCGCATACTGCAAAAAGGACAATCGGGATCTTCGATGATCCACGTTACCTTCATTTTACGAGGTTGTCAAAATTTTATTCGTCGCTCACCTTGTTCTCCAATTGAATTTTATTTATCTGTTCACAATTGGTTATAAATGCACTCATTGCATTTCAGCCCGAAAGTTACAGAATCTGTTTTGTTTCTAAATTCTGTTTCATTCGAATTTTCTTCGAGAATCAGATTTTATCGAATCTACATTTCATGATTTATTTGCGAGCATCCTTACCAGCATGCACGAAGGCGCAGGCAAAGTTACGTGTGCTTTAGGTCGAGGAAATTCCCAGTTGTAAGTATATGTTATAGATTATTCAACGATGAAGTAACATTATGCTGCTGGAACATTAATGTCCAACGTCCATCGATCGATCCTAGTTTCTTATTTATGATCAGAGACAGAACGTTTGAAGAGTTAAAAAAGAAACTAATTGTATTTGCTTTGGTAAAGAAAACACCGATCAAAGTCTCTCATTTGCTGGAAAGTTGGGTAAATATTCGCTGCCATAATAACAATAAATATGATGTTTTTTAACTGTAAGAAACCACACAAAAAAATCAGCTCGATTCTGACAGGAGTTACACTTCCGAATATTTACCGAAAGTTGAATAATTGAAAGAAACAAAGTTGAACAAAAATGTAAGTAACATTATTATGATATGAACACGTCGAATGGAACGATGAAATGTTCCTCGTTGACCTTGTTGCTTCATTTCCGGTTTAAAGCGCGCGTCACTTTTCCCAGTTTTTCCGGTGCCGGCGTTAATTTCCGTAAACGGAACGTTAGAAGAACTTACGGTCTCGGAGTGCGCTCTAATTAGCTGCATTAATTTTATTTCGCACAATATATTCGCCGGTGTCGCGTGAAAGCTGTCTTGCAGTGACATGATTAACAACGGGCATAATTAAATAAATAATTATCTCGGAGAATTCTTTGGTGGTTTGTTCCCATTTTACGACTTTCGCAAGGAAATGAGCCACCTCTTTTCCTCGAGGGAAAGTGGACAAACTGAAAATATCATTTCTTCTTTTTCTTCTTCCTTTTATATTGCCACAGCTGGCACGGTGTACGTCAAGAAAAATTCGTGTCAGCTAGTAGATCAATACAGAGGAGGAATAAAGACTTTGTACGAAGGAAACTCGCGTAAACTTGTAAACTTTTCAGTCTTCTTTGGTTGCTCGTCACTAGGCTACATATCCGCGCGGACGTGCAACATCGTGCAACGTAGACGTTCAATGTTTAATAAAGTTCATAATTTACAGGAAAAGTTGGTGCACAAAGGACGGTATAGAAAATACGATACTTCCGTCGAAACGTAACCAACGGCCTGGTAACGAGTAACTTTATACTGTAACAAATTTTTAACTCGTTCCTTCGTTGCTAATGACGCGAATGTTTATGAAGAACGGAATGGAAAGGGAAATAAAGGAAAACAAAAGTTTCCGGCCACGGCAGAGTACACGTGAAAGCATTTTCCAGCTATGAGTTTGTTGCTTATTCTTATAATAATATGCAGTTACATACCTGCCTCTAATGGGGAGTGAAACTTTAATGCTCTGTTACTGGAAAAAGGGAGAAAAAAGGGAAAGTCGTGCACGCTTCTAGAAATCTTTCTGTTTTTGAATAATTCATGAAAAAGTCATAGTATTTGAAGATAACAATGAAATTAGTATTTGACTGTTATAATAAATATGATTTTCTCCTGATTTTTCAAACGCTATAATCCGTTCAACCAGACGAGTCAGGATATGTTTACAAATTCATGCGCTCGACGCAGGGTCGAGGCTCAGTTGTTTCCAGTTCTTCAATCGTTTCGGTCGAGATTTGTACGCATTTATTGTCTCCTCTCGTTGGATGGAGTATAGAATTCACCAGGAAGGTAGTTTCTTTTCCAATAAACAGTTCAACGCACCTGATATTTTCCTTCTCAAATATTGATCTCTTCCAAGAACACAATATCAAGCTTTTGGACAATGGGTCAACTGAAAATATTCGATTACGTTTCTTTCGAATTTCTCAGTATCCCGAAGGCATTTTATAATACTCCAAAAATAAAATACTCCAACTGTCAAATTAGTTACGATTTTCCCAAATTAGAGGAGTTAGTAGCAACGAAAAAGATGCATAGGTCCTCCGCGTAGACTATAGTGTCCCCAATGTGCTTGGATTTCATTTGATAAGCAAATGGAGGGAAACTCTGCCGTCAAATATTGAGACACGTACGTTGGATGTACGAATTGGTGAACGGTAGACGGGAAATCCGTTCGTTCGAGCTATTTATGTAAACGACAGTACCCAGGAGAGCGTGGAAGGCGCGAGTTTGCTTATATTTCCGGTATTTTGTGAACATTATGCTGGCATTCAGGTGACGTATTCACAGTCCCTCCTCCAAGCGGCGAGTCTTCTTTTCTTGTGCAGCTATGCGAGCAACGTCTGCGAAGAGTTCGCGCTTAAGGCGTTCTCGCTTTATTTTCCCCTTTTCCAGCTTTCTTCCGGGCCCAATGTTCTACCTCGTCCCTTTCACGACACCGGGGGATACCTCTGCCGTTCCGCGCGAGCGTCGCAATAATTTAACGTTCCCCGTTTTCCAGCCAAGTAATTCCCGCGAAGATTGTCGCGTCTGTTACCTATTACCACGCCGAGGCGGGCCCCTCTTTACCGTGAATTTCTATTGTTCCACGGGTACGTTCGTATTGCCAAGAGTAATTGCGACCGAACGAGAGAAAATGGAAAGAGGAAATTTTGCGACACCAGGATGGCCACGATTGAACGGCTCTGATTAAACTTTCAATAAAGAGAAGCTTTTGCAACCTTGTCGTACGGGTTGTCGACGCTTTCTGGCGTAACCAGAGTTTACGAGATGTCATTCGCGAACCGTGTTCCGCGTTCACGAACGCCTAACCGTCGAGTAAAACGGTACACCGACTCGAAAACTTTTACGAGCTGATATTAAACGCGTGCCTGGTATGTGTGCCGGCCGCGATACTAATTAGCCCCGTTGGCGACTGAAAAGACACTCGATGAGCAGTAATTTCTATTTCGCCGAGACATTCGCTGGACTAAATTAACGCGAAACGAGACAGTTGTTACGCGAGACGTCGGTGAGTAAATGTAACTTCCCTGGCGCTCGAGTACATGTTCCAACGTCGTTTAAAGAAGAAAAGTGTAACGAGTTAATGTCAGTCAAGCGAGCCTGTGACACGTGTAAGTGACTTAAAGAATTGAGAGAATAAGAGAAGAATTTGTGGAAAATCCAGCCAAGAACAGCACCGATAACTGCTGCTGGCTTTAAATATTTTATCTATTAAGATACGCAATTCATCTTTAGGTGATCTACGATCCTGTTAAGTGCAAGTAATAAGCTCATTAACTCCGTTGATGGGACCTCCGGATGCGTCTTCCCAAAGGATATCTATCATCGATCGATCCGTAGGTTACGTACTCTATAATTCCTCGTAATATCACCCAAAATCAAACACGAAGGAAGTATCTTTTATATACAACAGTTCGAAAGCACAAAATTGAAAACAACCCTAGGTGTCTGATAACTGGTTTTACTCGAACGAAGCAGAAAAACAATGTTCGGTGCACGCAGGAG